GAGCCAATTGCGATAGAAAGCAGAGAAATAAAGAGAAAAGGCCTGATTCGCTGCTGCCCTCATTTACACAAGTGCAAAGCAGGCATAAACTGCTGCCTTGCTGATTTAAGGGCAGTTTACATTCACTCTGTACCGACATAAATGATGGCACAGCGTGTAGGGGGCCAGGCTGATGATCTTTGTGAAGGACAAAGCAAGCTAACTCTGGGGAGGATGAGGAGGTTATCTATTCCACAGGGGACTAAGTCACAGAATCACTGGGTTGAAAGGGATCTGCAGGGTCATCTGGGCCAGCCACAAAGTCATGTCAACACCCAAGCTAGTTATACTAGGATCTAACTAAGGTTATCCCAGATGATTTGGCGGAGGGAGTTGGGGAGATAGGAACACAATGAAAAGTTCAAGACATAGAATAAGCTGCAAAAAATAGGCTATAAAGGGCTCTGCAGTGGGGAGAGAATCCTTGAAGTTCCCTTTAGAGCCTGATGCTAGCAACTTTTGTGTTGGAGCCCAAAGGTATGCCTTGCTCCCCTTCCTCTACCCCCCCACAACACCTTCTGTAACTTCAGCACCTCATCAGGTTACCAGCACTGGTTAGGACACCATTAATGGTCACAATCTATGAATGCATCACCAGGGACTATTGTTCGCTGTTTCTATTGTGTGCACACGCCCAAAGGATTCAGCAAAATATCCAGCATCTTGTCCAACCAGCGACTGAATGACAAGCATGCAGAGCTCGCCAGCCGTGAGCTGGAACAGACTAATCCTCCAGTTTAAATGAATCACGCAGGACCTGAGCCAAAGTCTGTAGAAGTCAATAGGAAGATTCCCACTGACACCCACAAGCTGTGGATTAGGCCCATGCGTGCTGAATACTACTGTCCCAGGGTAAGAAATGCAGTGAATGAATGCTACCACAGACAACTCCGGGACACTGCTTCTGTAGCCTGGATTTCTGCCTTCCTCAATGGTGAACCTCAAGAGCAAACTCTTGCAAGTGCCATCAATGCATCCAGTTCACCTGGGAAAGATATGTAGGAGGTTGTCCTGGGTAGCCACCCCTAAGCTCTGGAAATCCTTTCCCTTTTAGGCCCATTGGGCCCCAGACCTGGACATGGTCCAGAAGTTTTGTAAGACCTTCCTAGTTGGGCAGGCATTTAGCAAGCAAGGCTGAGCTAGCATGCTGTTTAGGCGGTTTGGCTTATAATTTATTTGAAGACTCTGTCGGCTTGTAGAAGTTGTTTTGTTCTCTGCTTCCTTTTGTTTTACAAGCTATTTGTTTTCTTCTGTAAGTCTTCATCAGGAAAGGTGGCGCATAGCTCTAATAAGTAAGTATAGGGCTGTAAAACGTGGTTAACTTCCCTGTGGGGCTGACTCCCATTACAGGTCGCAGATGTTACTGTCCCTCCCATGGGTGGTTCCCTGGATCTGGTCCCAATCTCCAGCGCAATGGCCAGAAGGGAAGGGCAATTCAGCTGTGCCATGGCAAGAGCTGGTGCAGCTGATGTGCTGTATGGAGGAGAGAGGAAGCAGGGATTTCTGTGAGTCTCAGCCTGGGCCCCATGCCCTGAGCCTGTTCACGGGGCCAGCCCAGCCCTTTGCATTTGACACAGAAGAGGGCTCAGGAAGTGAAAACTGCACCTGCATAAGACTTGGGTACCGGTGGGAGAATGGTGACAGCAGTTGATCTTGAGGAATGTGTTTGCCCCTTTAACCGATCCCCACCCTTGGTTACTCGAGTGCAGTCTCTGGGCACTTAGACATAGCAGTTTCTAGGAAAGTTTGCCTGGCCAGCTGAATGCCACTGCTTCTTTTGGAGGCAGGCCGCACCCCAGCGATACAGGTATTTGTCATCTCAGGAGCAGAGGAGCGCAATGCGCTCTGCATGGGGAATGCATTTCAGCATGATCCAGACACTACTTCCATAGAAAGCAATGCTTCTCACTAGGGCCCAGCTGAACCGGTCTGAGACCACAGTTTGCTTCTCAGAGGACTGTAAATGGCAGTGTCTGATCCACAAGCAAAAGGATTTGCATCTCAGGAAGGTGCTACAAAAATCAGTCAGTGCAGTATTTGCCACTAGTGGCCTGGCAGCAGCCACCTGTAGCAGCGACTCCTAGGTTTGCCCGTTGGAGAGCATGAGATAAATGATGCAGTCTGCTGAATGGTGCATCGCATGAGTGAGTGCTGTAATCGCATTCTCCTCGGAGAGAGCAGGAGTGTGTGGGTGTGGGGATGTTTGCTGGGACAAGGTCTGGAAGTGTTATATCTTGATATCAGGGCCCAGTAGAAAGGAGCTCTTAGGGACGGGCATAGGGGGTGGTTTTAAAAGTGAAAATACGGGCAGTTGACCGGGGGGGACGGACGGACAGACGTGTAGAAATGAAAAGAATGGACTTGATTCTCCTCTGGCCACAGGCCTGAATAGTCTCACTCCCATTGACTTCCATGGATTAGCTGTAAATGCCCAGAGGCCAGGAGCCAGCCTATATGCCTGGGTGGGAGGATCAAATACAGATGAGCAGGTCTGAAATTATCTAAATCCATTCCCAAACAGGACAGTGCTTGCAGATGTACTTCAATCCAGAGGGATTAAATTCACCCTTCATAGGGATTAAATTCACCCTTAAACACATGCCTCATGGAACTTTTCTTGGCTTGGGATGTTTTAGATCAAAATCACCTAGGTCCAGAGTGACTCAACTGCAGAAAAACTGGAGTGAGTGAGATCAGTGCCAGAACCAGAAAAAAAAGCCCTTTCCCTCACTGGGAGCAAGTGCGTTGTGTTCAGTTAGAGAGAAACAATCACTTAATCCCCCAAAGAAACTCCATGCCGTTTACCCATCGGCGTAATCTGTTTTCACTCTTCGTTTCAGTTGTTCTCCTCTCCTGCAAGGGGTAAGTTGGTGCAGGAGTCCTGGCTAGAAGGAATTGTACTCAACCTAGTTAGCTTCATAATGCTGGCTATAATCTAAAAGTACGGGTGCTAATCCTTTGACGCTAAATTGTCCCAAACTCCTAATCTAGAAACCTTAGTTACATTTCCAAAAGTGATTTGGGCACTCATGAACATATCCCATTGAAGGCTAAAGGGATGTGAGCTCCTATAAGTCAGACTTTCAAAGATATGTAAGATTTTTGAATGGGTCTAAGTGGAGTGAGGTCCTCAGGCTCCTATTTTCATTTTAGGAGCCTGAATATCCTTGAAAATCTTCCCTTAAAGACCCACATTCTTTGGAAAATGGCTTCTGAAAATGCCACCTTTCCATTTATTTAGGTGCTTAAGTATGGATTTAGGGCCAAGGCTTTTCAGGAGGACTTGTGCCCACCTGGAGATGCCCACCTGAGTTACAGACAGTGGATTCCTCTGCGCTTTCAGGAACTCTAGCCATTGTGGAGCGTCTCTGGCTGGGCTCCTAAAGATTGACGTCCCAAAGTAACTAGTCACGTTTTAAAAAGCAGGTCTGTGTGTGCAGATGTTAGTATCTGCCCCAACATCTCCCCGTCTGTTCTCATGAGATCCATCCAGCAGTAATGCACTGAGAATGGCAGGGCAGGTTACACACTCAGGGGCTTCGTGATCGGAAGGGGTCCCAAGTGGTTGCATCATTTAGCATAACTTGCAGCAGTTGCGACAGTTTTGCGGGGGGGGAGTGTATAAAAGGGAAGCAATTTGCACCAATCTGGAGTTCTGCCTGGACTGAATTCAGCCTTGGTGCAATGCCCTTTGCTGTCAGCAGCACCTGTGCCTGCTTGCTGTAGCGTGGGATCTTCCCCCCACCGAGGCTGGCATGTTTTGAGTTAGTGCCCTAACTGAATAGGCCTAGCAGCAGAAGAGACGCTGATAGGCATCTGGTCCTGCAGGTTCCCCTGTACTGTGCTGAGGCAACTAAAAGGCAATTCTTAAAATCAGGCAGTATAAAAAACCAAGGAGGCACTTTTATGGGTGTTGAGAAGTTCAGGAGTGAGAGCTGTTGAAGGGACATAAATCCACATGCATTAGGTGCATCTACATGTGCAGTTAGCATGTAACAATAAACTTTGGCACAGTTCGCACAAGAGTTTATTGCTCCTGGGTGCAGTATTTACTTGTGTGCCCAGGATCACAGCACATTGAGCCAGGACGGAGTGGCCTCGGCTGGCAGGAGGCCCACGGCATCAGCCTGCCGGCCTGGGGCTGCTCTGCCCTGGCTCAACATGTTGCGGAGGAGCTGGCTGGAGCACGAGGGTGATGCAGTGCGGGGCTAGCCAGCAGTCGTAGCACCCTTGTGCCCCCGCCAGCTCTGGTCACCATCTTCACATACGTTTTGGTGTAGGTAACTATTCCGCTGTAGGATTTGTTGTCCAGGACAGTACTATCTTACAGCGGAGTTAATTAATTTACTGCGACCTAGTATGGGCGCACATGTAGACAGTGATGCTTTACTGTGGAGCTAATTAGCTCCGTAGTAAGGTACACTCACTGTGTCTAATCCAGCTCCAAACTGCTGGGACAAGGAGGAAGCATTTTGAAACAAAGGTTACTCTATCACTGCTTTCTCACTCTTTCTTAGTGCTGGGTTCAAATCCTGACATAGAGCAAGCACAGAGTGAGACGTTTCAGCTCTGAGCTTTGCCTTTCCTGTGCATATATCTGCTGTATAAGCCTTGCTGTGGATACATCGTACATGGCAGGAAAGCTGCAGGACTGGAATATCAGGATTTTTACCACTCTGGGTAAAGGAGCATCGACAGAGCTCACAGGGAACCTGTCCCACACCTGCTGACAGCAGTCAAGGCTATTACCAATTTACTTCTATAGGCAAGAAACCTCCCACCCAGCAAGGGACCCGCAGCCAGGCAACAAAATTCAAGGGTCCTTGGAGATGGCAAAAACACAAGCCCACTTCTGAGAAGGCTTGGTCTATCCCAGCTCCGTGAGCTGGTTCCCCCAACAGAAGCAGTCAGCAGCATTTGCCCCACGCCCCCCATGTGCGAGGAAGCAGCTGCACACTCACCGTGTTGTAGTACTCCGCAATGGACCGCGAGTGCTCAAAGTTGCCTTCACACCAGTCCACTTCTGCGCTGAGGTAGGAAAATATGCATGGCATTC